TATTAAGGTAGAGTGTTGATATGAAGGAAGATAAAGTGAGACGAGGTTTGAGTAGGAAAAAGAGGATGATTTTGGAGGTCTCAAACACACAGAACCACAGTATGTGTTGAAATATCAATTTGGTGCACTTAAAACTTGATTAAGACTCGAATCACGTTTTTTCCTCAACTTTACGTATGTACCTGAGCTTTTGTGTCTAAAAGGAAAGCATATTCAAACCCTTTCAGCATTTAGTAGATGGATAATGTCAACGAAATATTTGTTAAAGCCCAACCTGAATCTTTTTCTTGTAATTTCACTAATTTTTTTTTATTGCTAACGTTTTTAGGTTTGGCTTCGGAAAGAACAATAATCTATAACTTGTAAGCATATGACAGACACGACAATAAAGTTTCATGTGTTTCCTGATAGCGGGAAAATTGTTTGCACGATTTACCAAATTTCTAATTAAAGCAGTACAATATTCAGGGGATTACCTACTAAATTGCTAACATTCTTTTCTAGTAAATCGCGCGTAAACTTTGACAGTCTCGAAATATGTCACATTACTCGCTCGGCACACGCGGAAGTGCAACGAAGAAAAATAGCACAATCCCGTTCCTCGCGACACAAGAGACACTGTCGAAACAAGCGACACTCTCAAGTAAAAAAACGTGCCCGTTCAGTCGGAAAGGGGGAGCAATTTCGCAAATTACTGAATCGGATTTCGGATTTCTGGACGTAATTGAAGCCTCTTTCGATGCCCGAAGAAAAATTTAATAACCGGAGTAGCTTGCACGAACTTCGAAATTGCTTGAAAATGTCTTTTGTTACAAACGATTCCGAATCGCCATCCATTGTCATCCGTAAACCGAGGGAGAGCTTGAATTACAGTTGGAGTTGCGGTAACATTATCAAATGCGAACTTATAGAAAGTGGGCCGAAAAATCGCTGCTACCTTTTGTCCACTTCAGAAGTTGCTGAATACGAGTACAGTTTTGAACTTGTGTTACTGTTTGATCGAATTATGTTTACACTTGACTTGGCTTGTGTGCAGTTTTTAGTATTCATAGACAGATCCTCCAAATGTGGGAGAATTTTATTTTATTTTATTTTATTTTATTTTATTTTATTTTATTTTATTTTATTTTATTTTATTTTATTTTATTTTATTTTATTTTATTTTATTTTATTTTATTTTATTTTATTTTATTTTATTTTATTTTATTTTATTTTATTTTATTTTATTGCATTTTTTCGCACTCTTCAAAAACTTTAAGGCTATCATAAGATTTTGGAGTACCAGGCCCTTCACCATTTCAGTATTTTCTGTCTCTCTCTTTCACTCGTCGCTTCTACCCTCGTTGTGCCTCCTGTTCTTCTTTCCCTCTTGAGACTACAGCCCCTATCCAAATTGTTCCTCTTTGTCATTCCTGACTTTCTTTTCCTCTTTGGGCTTCTCGATCTTATCATACTTCACTTCCCCTCTTCTTTTTCTTTTTCTAATTCCTTTACCGCCTCTTTTTCTTTGTTGTTTTGTCTTTTTTTATCTTCCCCCACGCCCCCCGTCCTTCCTTCCTTTTTTGTGTCTTGTGCTTCCTATTCTTCTTGGCCTTCTTACCGTCGTCCTGTTTATAGCATCCTTTGCTTTTTTTGTCACTGCTACCCTTGCTATCCCTTGTCTTCCGTATGTTTTTATGTTTTGTCCCTTTCTTTCCTTTTTTCCTTCTTGCCCCCCCCCCCCCCATATCTTTCTCCTCATTCCTTCTTTTCTTGTCCTTCTTGCTCGCCTTGTCAATCTTACCCTTCTTTGTCTTTATCTTGCTCTTTTTGTGTTTTCATAACTGCGATCTTTCCTATCTTTCATACCTTTTTGTCTTCTCGGTAGCCCTTGTCCCTTTTAGCAACTTGTCGTGCAACTTATTCCTTCCTTCTTACATTCTGGTCCTTCTTTTCTTTAATGTCTTGTTTCCGACACTTCCTCTCGCATCTTCTTCTCTTCCCTTTCTCGTCCTCTTGCCTGCTTTTTGTGTCATTGCTCTTATACCTGATTTTCATGTCTTTCTTATGCTTCTAACACTTCTCACATTTCCCATCCTCCATATTTGTTCTTTTTTTATTCTTTTCTTTCTTTTCCGTCTCGTTTTTAGCACATTTTCCAAAAGGAAAAGGAACGCTATTGTTTTTACTTTCTTGTCCTTATCTTTCTTGTCATTCTTTTTTTAGTCCCCTACGGGTTCCTTGCCCTTCTGTTTTTATTGTTTCTTCCCGTCCTTATCGCCTTTCTTTCCTTTCAGTTCTTTTTGTCACTGCAATCTCTACTTCTCTGCGGTATATTTTGAGTTTCTTGTTCTTTCCTTTCCTCTTACACTACTTATCCTTCTCATTCCTTCTCTTCTTGTCCTTCCTCGTCCTGTCAATCTTACCTTTCTTGAATCTTGTTATTCTGATCATTCTCGTCAATCTGCTCCTTCTGTTTTTCTTGTCCTTCTTTGTCGTCCTCATTCTGGCTCATTCTTATTGCTCTTTTTGTGTTCCCAATATTGTCATTTTTCCTTCGTATCTTTTTTTCTTGCCCGTAGGTCTGATCCCTTTTGGTCATGTTATCTCTGTCGTGCTACCTGTGTCTCTTCTCCCTTTTATCCTTTTACCCTCTTGCCATTACAGACTTTTTTCCTTGCTCTCATTTCTATCGTATTTGTTCGTCTTACTACTTCCACCCTTTGACTCATTCATTTCCTTGATCTTCTTTTTGTTTTTCTTGTGCTTCACACGCTTTTGTTTCATTCCTTCCTTCTTGCCATTCTTTTCTCATATATACTTTTCTACATTTCCTCTTGTTCCCTTGTCTATCTTTTCTTTTCGTATTTTTTGTTTCTCTTGTATTTTTTTTCGAATTGTTTTAATGTCTTCACTCCTACTCTTCCTGTCTCTCTTGCCCGTCTTGTCCTTACCCTTCGTGTAGCCCTTTGCCTTTTTCCTGCTTCGTATTCGTATTCTTCGTATTGTACTTACCCCCATCTCGATTTTCTAACCTTCTTGTCTTTCTTGTCTCTCTTTTATCCCTATTCCTACTCGAAGTCCCTTTTTTGTTCATTTTCCCATTTCGGTCTTTCTTTTGCGTTTCGTTTTATTTTTTGTTCATCTTGTCTGTTTTGTTTTTTTTTGTCTTCACGCCCATTTTGCACTTCATGCTCTTCTTTCTTGAGTTTTTTATCCTTTCCTTTCTGCTTTTCTTTCTTACCCCTCTTCTCACACTTCTCGTTTCTTCCTTCTTTCTCATCTTCTTCTCCTTTTTTTCCATAATGTTTTGTTTCCTACTTTTCCGTTCGCACCTTCTTTTCTTCCCGTCACCCTCTCATCATCTCTTGCTAACCACGTGACCCTTTTGCTCCTCATCCCTCTTAAGACTGCACCCCTTGCGTTTTGTGTTACTGCCCTCATTCCTGACTTTCTTGTCACCTGACCTTCTCATAATTTTTTTCGTCCATTTTTGTTTTCTTTCTGTTGCCTTTCTTATATGTATTGCTTTTCCCTTCTTCTCTTTCTTATCCCTCTTGTTTTTTTTGTCTCCCACGCCCTTATTTCCCTCTTTTCTTCTTGTATCTTACGCTTCTTATTCTTCTCGGCCTACTCACCCTTCCCGTCCTTATCGCGTTTCTTTCAGTTTTGTTCCGTTTCTCACGGCTGCATCTTCATGGTATTCCTTGACTTTTTGTTCCTCCCATTCCTCGTGCCATTCTTGTCTCTCTTCTTACGGTTTATACTCTTGCCCGTCTTGTCATTGTTCCTCCCTTGTTATTTTGTCATTTTCGTCCATCTGCCCTTCTCATTTCTCTATGTATTGCTCTTTCTGTGTTCTCATTATTGCCCTTCATATTTTCCTTCTTTGTTTTGCTGGTAGTTCTAATCTCTTATATTTAATTACGTTGTCCTTGTCGTGCCACTTGTTCCTTGTCCCTATTTTATTGTCTTTCATGTGCTTTTTGTTGTTGTTGTTCTCCTTGTGCTTCACGCTTTTCTCGTTCATCCATCCCTTCTTACCTTCTTGTTATCCCATTTGCAGTCTTGCCCTTCTCATTTTTTGCTTTTCTTGTCTATCTCGTTCGTGTTGTCTTCCTTAATCGTTATCCTTCTTATACCTCTTGTCCTCTCTTCTCCCTTGTCTCTTTCGGTCATCTTGTTCCTGTCCAATTGCTTATCTCGATCATTTGTGCCTTCTTATCCTCCTTGACTCTCTTGTCCTCCTCCGTGTCTCCCTATTCTTCTTGTACCTCTTTTGCTTCTTTCGCCCTTCTCCTTATTTCTGTGATTCCTGTTCTTCTTGTCTTATTTGCTCGCATTTTTCTCACCTTCTTCTAAATTTTTTCGACATTGGACCGTCCTCTTGTCTTCTCCTCCCATTTTCCTCGTTTCTTCGCCGTCTTGTTCTCGTAAGCTTACCGTTTTCGCCTCATTTTCTTTCAGTTGTCTCTACGGCTCTTGTTTATTATACTTCTCACCTTTTTTTGTTTCATGCACTTGCCTAGTTCTCCTTTTTCTACCAGTTTTTACCGTCCCCAAAATCCACAGAATCTCTCTAATCTACAAAATCTTTAAAATTTTCAGCTTTTCATGCAAAAAAACTTTACTGCGGGATTCTTTTACTTGAGCTCTACCAAGACTCAAGTGTTTTTACTCGCTGGCGGGTTAATGTCCTAAAGGACTATTACTTCGAACTTCGAAACTGATTGCTCTACCGTTATGTCTACTGGGCGCGTCCCTACTTTTTTAAAATTTTACATTAAGCCAACAAAATGGCACTAAATCGGCCATTTTTAATCATTAATCAATCGGATTCGTATAAAAGCCATAATACCAGCTCACCAGATTTTAGGAACCATTAGTTTGCGCTTCTTGCGATGCTTCACAGTAGCATCATGAGTAATCAACGTATAAGGCATTAATATTGTGTTATCGCCCGTCATACTGACACCGAAAATATCAAAAGCGCCTAATGCTAATAAGGCGTTTTGTTTCAGGTTACGGCAGCATAGCGCCGCGTACCAGCCTGGGGAAGGCCGTGACAATCGGATACGCGATTCTGGGCATACCGCTCACCCTCCTGTACCTATCGAGTATCGGCTCGATTCTGAGTCGAATAGCGAGAGGAGTCTTCTCGAGGGCGCTATGTTGCTGCCTGTGTTCGAACTGCGGCTACTGCTGCTACGACGAGAAGCGCATGGCGGAAAAGGAGAGAAAGATGAAGAAGAAGCGCCAGCACAAAGAGCTGCAGCAGCAGCTGGCGCTTCAGGAGCCGTTTTACGTGCGAGCCAATCCGAGCATTACGATTAATTCGACTCATAATAACCTGCACTCACCCGCGAAGGAGCCGGACGCGACCAGCGAGTTGGACAGCGAGTCCAGAACGTCCATGCACGGCCTGAGCATCTTGGCGCCGGTCCTTCTTTGCCTAATCATCATGTTCATTTACATCTGCCTGGGCACCTTCGCCCTGTACAACCTGCAGAACTGGAACCTCGTCGACGGCTTCTACTTCTGCTTCATGAGCTTGACGACGATCGGCTTCGGCGACATGGTACCGGGCTTCGAGATCTACAGCCAGAACTACTCCGAGCTGACAATATGGTTCTGCTCGCTGTACATCATGTCCGGTATGGCGCTGACGGCGATGTGCTTCAGCGTCGTACACGACGAGATCATCCACAGGTTGCGACACCAGGATAGGAACTTTCGCAATTTAAATTCCGACAGCTATCCGGACGATTTTAACTCGGTCGACCCCTACAACCTGCCGTCATGACAATTCAACGCGCAGAATAAGACATCGAATAATTTATATCAGAGAAATATGACTGAAGAAACCCTGTTGAGTTCGGGTGGTACGCCTACCTCGATTATAGATATGGGACATGAACTCAATCCAATTGCAACCAAAATTCCCGACTCGCTCGAGCCGTTGCCTATTACCGGCGTGTACACGCTGCCGGAGGAGCCGGAGGTTGAGTCTACTTTAGAGGACACTAACTAAATTCTACAATTATTTTTTAAGGTAAGTGTTTCTGAAAACCTTGCTCTTGATTTAAAAACCGCAATTGTTGTTTACTCAATAACAAAAGACTCATAAACAGTTACTTGAGACTCAAGTTTCAGAGGTCCGCAGTTTGCACAGCAAGAAAAGCAATAGAGACCACTGTTGACTGTTGACCACGGTTGGCCCTCTCTTCCTTGGAAGAATCTTGACCTAGATCTCGACCTTTCGACAACAACCTCGACATTTTCGAAATTTCTTCTCCTTCCTTTACAGGCTTTTCTATTTATAGCTTTAGATAGGAATTTCAACGTAACTAGATTAATTTTCGTGGCCACGGTCTATTAAACTACCCTAATTTTAATGTTAAATATAATAACAGGTTAAAGTGAGATAGAATGTTGAAGCGAGCAGCCTGAGTAGACTAGTAACAATTAGATATTTAATTGCTACCCTCAATGTCGCCCCCCCCCGCCCCCGCCCCTGTACACGAAGACAATATGATAACTATAGGGACCATGAAAACTATCTTCAGGAGCCTGAGACAGAATTCTCGCCATGAAAGACAGATTCCTGGTCCCTTATGCAAAACTACAACAGTCTTTGAGGCTAAATGCTTATGGGAGACCGTAGCACCGGGGGGTCTGGGGGGTATGGAATACCCCCCAGTCAATACCCCCCAGTATAAGAAGTGCTTATGATCTTTATAAGGAAGAAAACAGTGAATCGAATACCATCCATGGAAGAACGTTTTATTGTTCTCTCACTACCACTACATCAAAGTCTTCGTATACTGGGGGGTATTCCATACCCCCCAGACCCCCCGGTTCTACATCTTTCCCAAAACGTATACTGCACATACCATATTACAATAATTCCCGGAAAAAGAACACCAAAACTAGCACCATGAGCTCGTGGAGCAAGGAATTCTCGTCAGGAAAGGAAGCTTCAATAGTCCCTTATTTAAAATTACCACAATAGTCCTTAGGGCTGAATGTTTCGTGGGAGACCGTAGCACCTGGAGGTCTGGGGTTATAGGGAAGAGAACTGACAACCTTGGAATATTTTTGCATAGCATTTGAATACTTTGTGGAGAATTCGAAAAAGCCCTAAAGTGGGTATGAAGGCATCTCATACAGGCTTGGGAATTTTCAAGTGAGTCTATATGGAAAAATGACGGAGTCCAGGAAGCTTCGGAAAGGTTTAGGTTAGCCTGTAAGGCAATTGGAGAACTCTAAGCTTAAATGAATTCTGGACCATATCTAAAAAGCCTTTGAACGATCTTGAAGATATGAAAGAGTTAAAAAGATCCCCAGTGCGACAAAACCTCTTCATAATCTATTCAAAAATTTTTCAAAATTCTTTAGAAACTCTTCAAAATCTCTTAATCTCTTCAAACTCCCAATAAATTTCTGAAACGTTTAGATTTTCAATGCCAATTGGATTGTACAATTGGAAATGGGTGGTCGGTACATTCCAAGTGTGCACGTGTATTTAGTTTAAGACTAGTCACATTTTAAATCCCTGGAAGACTTGTGTATTTGCAGATGACTTTCTGAAACGAATCTTCTGTAGGTTTTGTTATCACACTGGGGACAAATAAAATGTTTGAGTTATTGTACATTAACAGGTGCGTATTTAGGATTGATTTCAATTGGCACTGGCTACATTTAAAATTTTTGCAGCACTGCGTATAATCTGATGTCTTCTAAAACGAGATTTGTTGTAGTTTGCATAATCACACCGATCACAATTTAAATTCTTGGATCTCGTTTTTAAGTCTTCAAAATCGCTTCAAAATTTCTTCGTAATCTCTTAAAAATCTATTAAAAATCTCTTTAGAACCTCTTTAAAATGTTTCAGATCTCTTCACAGTCATTTTGAAATCACTTCTAATGTCTTTAGAAGCACTTCAGAATCTCCTTAGAATCTCTTCATAATCTCCCCAAAATCTCTTCAGAAGCTCTTCAGAATCTCCTCAGAATCTCTTCGAGTCTTCTTTAAAATGTCTGCAGGATTTGTCTAGTCTCTTCCGAATTTCTTCAGAATCTCTTTAAAAAACCTCTTTAAAATATTTTTTTGATCCCTTCAAAATCACTCTGAAATCACTTCTTAATGTCTTCAGAAGCACTTCAGAATCTTCTCAGAATCTCTTCAAAATCTCTTCATAATCTCTTTAGGATCTCTTAAGAATCTCAGATTCTCTTCAAAGTTTCTTGAAAATCTTTTGAAGCTCTCTTCAAAGTCTCTTCAAAATCTTTGCAAAATCTCTTCAAAATTTCTTCAAAACTTCTTTAAAATTTCTTATAAATCTCAATCTCTTCAAAATCTCTTTAACATTTTTTCCAAATCCCTTCAAAATCTCTTTAAAATCACTTCTAATCTCTTCAGACGCTCTTTAGAATCTCATCAGAATCTGTTCAAAATCTTCTCAGAATCCCTCCAAAATTCCTTCAGAAGGTCTTCAGAATCTCCTCAGCATCTCCCCAAAATCTCTTCAAAATCTCTTTAGTCTCTTCAGAAGCATTTCAGAATCTTCCTCAGAATCCCTCCAAAATTCCTTCAGAAGGTCTTCAGAATCTCCTCAGCATCTCCCCAAAATCTCCTCAGAGATTTCTCTCAAAATCTCTTCGAGTCTTCTTTAAAATGTCTGCAGAATTTGTCTCTTCCGAATCTCTTCACAATATTTTCCGAATTTCTTCAAAATATCTTAAAAATCTCTCCAACTCTCCTAAATTTCTTTAAAATGTCTTCAAAGTCTCTTCAAAATCTCTTTAAAAAACCTCTTTAAATTATTTTTTTCATCCCTTCAAAATCGCTTTGAAATCGCTTCTTAATGTCTTCAGAAGAACTTCAGAATCTCCTCAGAATCTCTTCATTCTCTTCAGAATCTCTTAAGAATCTCAGAATCTCTTAAGAATCTCAGAATCTCTTCAAAATCTCTTCAAAATCTCTTCAAAACTTCTTCAAATTTTTTTTAAAATCTCTTCAAGATCTCTTCAAATTTTTTTCCAAATCCCTTCAAAACCTCTTCAAAATCGCTTCTAATCTCTTCAGAAGCTCTTCAGAATCTCATCAGAATCGCTTAAGAATCTCAGAATCTCTTCAAAGTTTCTTGAAAATTTTTTGAAAATCTTTTTAAAGCCACTTCAAAATCTTTGCATAATCTCTTCAAAATCTCTTTAACATTTCTTCCAAATCTCTTTAAAATCATTTCTCATCTCTTCAGAAGCTCTTCAGAACCTCCTCAGACTTTTCAAAATCTCTTGAAAATCTCTTCAAAGTCTCTTCAAAACCTCCTCAAAATCTCTTCAAAGTCTCTTCAAAATCTTTTCAAAATCTCTTCAAATCCCTTTCAAATCTCTTTAAAATCACTTCTCACCTTTTCAGAAGCTCATCAGAATCTCCTGAGAATCTCTTCAAAATCTCTTTAAAATCACTTCTAATCTCTTCAGACGCTCTTTAGAATCTCATCAGAATCTGTTCAAAATCTTCTCAGAATCCCTTCAAAATTTCTTCAGGTCTTCAGAATCTCCTCAGAATCTCCCCAAAATCTCTTCAAAATCTCTTTAGAATCTCATCAGAATCTGTTCAAAATCTCAGATTCTCTTCAAAATTTCTTCAGAATATCTTCAGAAGGTCTTCAGAATCTCCTCAAAATCTCTTCAAAATCTCTTTAGAGTCTCTTCAGAAGCTCTTCAGAATCTCCTCAGAATCTCTTCAAAGTTTCTTGAAAATGTTTTGAAAATCTCTTCAGTCTCTTCAAAATATTTGCAAAATCTCTTCAAAATCTCTTCAAAATCTCTTCCAAATCTCTTCAAGATCTCTTCAAAATCTCTTCATAATCTCTTCAGTCTCTTCAAAATTTCTCCAAAATTTTTTCCAAATCCGTTCAAAATCTCTTTAAAATCACTTTTAATCTCTTCAGAATCTCAGAATCTCCTCAAAATCTCTTAAAAATCTCTTCAGTCTCTCCAAAAATTCCTCAAAATCTTTTCAAAATCTCTTCAAAATCTTTTCAAAATCTATCCAAAATCTCTTCTAAATCCCTTCCAAATCTCTTTAAAATCACTGCTAATCTTTTCAGAAGCTCTTCAGAATCTCCTCAGAATCTCTTCAAAAGTATCTTCAGAAGCTCTACAGATACTCCTCAGAATTTCTTCAAAATCTCTTCGAGTCTTCTTTAAAATGTCTGCAGAATTTGTCTAGAGTCTCTTCCGAATCTCTTCACAATCTTTTCCGAATCTCTTCAAAATATCTTTAAAATCTCTTCAAAATGGGTTCAAAGTCTCTTCAAATTCTCTTTAAAAAACCTCTTTAAAATATTTTTTGATCCCTTCAAAATCGCTTTGAAATCACTTCTTAATGTCTTCAGAAGCACTTCAGAATCTCCTCAGAATCTCTTCATAATCTCTTGAGAATCTCTTAAGAATCTCAGAATCTCTTCAAAGTCTCTTCAAAATCTTTCCAAAATCCCTTCAATATCTCTTCAAAATCTCTTCAAAATCTCTTCAAAGTTTCTTCCAAATCCCTTCAAAATCTCTTTAAAATCACTTCTAATCTCTTCAGAAGCGCTTCAGAATCTTCTCAGAATCTCTTCAAAATCTCTTGGAGAACTTCTTTAAAATGTCTGCTTGTCGAGAGTCTCTTCCGAATCTTTTCCGAATCTCTTCACAATCTAGTGAATCTTGTATTCTCCATGGAAGAACGCTTTCCTATACTTGAGTGCATTCCATAACCCCCCAGACCACCAGAAAGACGTCCACCAGAGCTCGAGGAGTATGAAATTCTCGCCTGGAAAAGATTCTACAGACCCTCATGCAAAATTACCACAATAGTCCCTAGGGCTGAAAGTTTCGTAAAAAGCCGAAATTAGATCGAGTTAACTTTAACATGAAGTGGAAGCGAAGTTGAGGTGAGGTGGAAATAGAGTCAGGATTATTTAGATATGAGGCAGCGGTCAAATTGAAGTGAAGCGTCTTATTTAACACCGACTTCATGTCAGCGTCACTTTGTGTTTG